ACATTTATGATACTTATATGGTTACCGAACAGTGTTCAAAAAAACTAATTGTGAATTAAATTATTGCTTGCTAAAATTTAACAGATACCAGTAATATTATGATTAAATGATGATAAAATGGAGAACGATGCAGAGGTTGTGTATGTCAAATGATCACATTTTTTTATTACGAATGAAATCAGTAATAAATCTGATACCTGAAAGACGGCGGATCTGAGCAATGAATTGATAGCATGGTGATTGACGAATATAGAAGTGTAAATTTTTCACTGAAAGAATTTGACAAATCTTTCAGGTTGAAAGCTCATCAGATTTCCAATCTCAAATAACATTACAACTGCTTGTTTTAGCTCTTAGAGCGCTTTCTTATGAACTGAGATTTTCGACGAGCAAAAGCATTTTGGTATTAAGTGTTAGCGCAGTACATCGGATGTAATGAACAATAAATTGTCGAAATGAATTTAATTTTTTATCAAAATAACTTCTTAATGAATAGAAGCAACATCCTAATCATTTTTTATCGACTAATATTGTTAATTTTGATGATACTGACTAGATTGATCCACTGACACTGATTAAATAATCGAATAATTAATGAACCAATTGATTGATCTTTTGATTAGTATTATTTCATTGGTGTATGTTTTGTTGATAATTTAACAAAGAAATATACATTAAGTAAAAAATTTAACAACTATAAATGAATTATTTAAACAACTGCAAATGAATATAAATGCATTACACCACAAAATATTTAAAAACTAAATAATATAAATTGCCTATTTCATTTTATTATATTTGGATTGCTTTTCGAGTTCAAATTTTCAAAACGTTAAGCTCAGGCCCAAGCCTAAGCCTAAGCCAAAGCCTAAACCCTAATAAGCCTAAGCCTAAAGTGGGCCTAATCCTAAGTCTAAACCTAAGCCTAAACTTAAGCCTAAGCCTAAACACCAACGAGAGGACATTTTTGTCATTGTCACCTTAAAATTATTGATTGCCAGAGAAACTAAAAAATTATCCGAAATTAAGAAAGTCTAATGCATATTATGGTTGATTCTTAGTGCTCGTGTTATTAATTTGTTGTGTCGATGTTGTAATAACAAGTTCGTTGTTGTATTAATGAATTTATCGTAATAAAGGTTTAATTACCTATGTTTAAGGTACTACCAATTAAAGAGGCGGAAAGAGCCCTCAGCTTTTGTCCCAGTTGATGAAAATCGACGACACCTTATAAACAGTTGTCAAGAGAAGAAAAGTAATGCGAAAATTAGCTTATTAATTCCAGCTGATGAAGTATGATTAATATGTAAAGAGATTAAAGCGGTTAACTTTTATTTTAGCTAAACTTAAAAGAGATAGAGATGTATTCTTTGTGAGCAACATCTGTTATGGTCAGCATATTGATTGAATCTTACTTTACTCGAAGAGCAATATGAGGAAATGGAATCCATCACCGTTCCAAACATCTTTCTTACTAGCCATGCTGAAATAGTGTTGTACCGGATAGCAACTGGTGTTGTGAATCCTGTAGAATTTCATTTAAGAAACCGGATTCAAACGTCCTGGACACATTCGCTGGCACTTTTCAGGTATATTTTTTTACTGGATAATGCATAAAGATCTCCAAATATTGAAAAAAGTGCGAGTGTTTAGTGAAATATTGTTCTTTACTTCAAAGATCATTCGCTTGAATTTATTTTATGCTCATCTTATGCTTCTTGTTCAGCTAAAATACAAATCGGTCGAGTTAAATGACTTTTCTTATCTTTGACATTCAATTACGTAAACTATTCAGATAAATTGTTTACGCGTGGATTTTTTTGTCGTTTTATTTTTTGTATTTATTATATTTACAAATTTGAAGTTTCCATCATAAATTTCAAAATTTCTTTTTATGAAGTTTTCAAGTTTTGACAGTCCAAATCTAAAGCGTCTTTTTCTCATAAATTTATAATCAAAAATTTTCAAAATAAATTCCTAAAGATATTTTCAGTAAGCACATATTCAAATATAATAGAAAGTTGGAACCACTATAGTTTGGCGCAACAATAGAAATTATCCAGAGTTATTATCCATGACAATGTGTTATAGATTTCATTTTTTCAATATGTGTGTTAGCAAAACGGACATTCATAAACCAGTTGAGTCAGATTTTTTCAATTTCTATTAATTTTCGTCAAATTTCAAAAGTGTTCATTTAAAATGATTTTTCAAATTAACATAACTGCTCAAACACTAAAATGGCTTTTTTAATGTGCATTTTACTAGCTATGCTAATTTCAAAAATCTATATAAAAGAAAAAATTATTTTGCTCAACTGTTTTCTCATTTTGTCTAAAAGGTTACGTTGATGTGTTGTGCAAATATGGTTGAGAAGTGTGGGTAATTTGTTCAGTTTCAAAATGACAAGTTGATGTTAACATTATCAATTTATTTTTCGAAATTATCCAAAACATTTTCTGTTATTTTCAATTCTTTTTGAAACTTTTCTGTATCTACAATATTTAATTTCCGAAAATCTTCCAATTTCAATTTATTCATAAATTATTAATGATGTGAGTTTTAGCAACAGCGACTGGAAACAACGACATTCAATCAGCAAAACGTCTTGCTGGAATGATACGAATACTTAAAGAGCAAATTATTAGTGAATTAAGTATCTGGCAGGAGACTAATGCCAAAAATTGTCAGTTGGAAATTGAAATTCATCATTTTCAGGAAAGGTAGCAACACAATTTTTTTAATTTTCTAGAAAATTTGACCAAAAATTTGATGAAACAGAAATCTGGAAAGAAACTTTTTTCTATTTTCGATTTTAATGTCTCAGAACTTTAGACTTTAATGTCTCAGAACTTTAGATGATTATTTTTGTTCTTTCTTTTTTCTATCGTTCAAATCCTTGTCTTTAACGTTTGTATTATCCGAAACGATGGTTGGTCAAGTTGGAAGATCGAATAAATACTTTTTTAGTCATTCATGATTGATCGGTCTTTTGCATGAAACCTATCCGTCTAATTTCTTTACTACTCCTATTTATTTACCACTGCTGTAATTAATTTAATATTGAACTACATTTAATACGAAATTAAATTTCGATTTTCCCTTGTCGATATATATATATATATATATATATATATATATATATATATATATATAT